ACTGACTCCTTTTCCAGAGCTGGCAACTATCTCAGCTCCTTATGAAAGAGTACTCTGTAACAAGCTTTCTCTGGTAATGAGGTCAGTAAAGAGGGAAATTGCCCATAACCCTTAATGTTGTAGCTTAGACCCTAGGATTAACTTACAACTTTGTGCTACAAAATGTCAGTGTTTGTTTTTAAACAAGGGAGATCTAGAAAGCTTTATCTACCCTTTCTTTCTAAAATAAAAGCTTTAGCTGTTACTCTTAAGTAACAGCTAAACTAATGAATATCACAATACCTATGTACTTCCTACCTATATAAAGTGTTTGAGTTTCACTACATTCTAGTTTTGGAAAGAAATGGAAACCAGGGGCTAAGTATAGCTATATAGAGATGAGACTATGCACACAAGATTCTTTGTGGCTTCTATTTCCATTGAGGATAAATTTTTAGCTCACATTATAATGGTGTTCAAAAATGTCTCTCTTTCCCACTACCTACTCTCACACAGAAAAGTAAACTACTGAGTAGTTTCTATAGTATTCTTAACTCATAATAGTAGCACTATATATAATAACATTCAATCACCACCAATCTCGCACTCACCTCATGTGTACAGCCTTCAATAGTTTCAACAGCTTGTACCTTTACTTTTGGCATCACATCTGCCAAACTGAAACCAAAAATCATGTTAATTTATTACTCAGTAATGAAATGTATATGATATACTTGACTTTTCAAAGATTAATAATGCTAATAATGATCATTATTCATATTTCCAAATCTACAATTTGGAACAACTACAATTCAGGTGAAAAATCCAATTCTCCAAATGTGAAGACAGGGTAAGTTTAAAGTGAGAAGGAATTGCTACTTCTCTCATTGGCTAAAGGAAGCCATTCTATCACATTTCTTACTTTCCCTAAATAATCAAAATGCTTCACATACATTTCTTTCAGCAATTCTTGTTCCTGGAGTAAGATTTATTATACTCACTGGAAGCAATGAAAAATACAGGATTGCTTTACAAGATCATTTCTAATGCAAGCAGTTTTACGTGATAAAACATTCTAGTAGCTTCTAATGTATGTCTTTTACAGTATTTTTTTCTGTGCAGTTATTCATATATCATTTCTATCTCTTCAATTCTAAAAAAACCCAATCATTTCCAAGTCTAATATGTACAATTCATTCTTACTTAAGATCTTCCGTGGTGAAGTCTTCCACCTTTGGTCTCTTTCCCAAAGCTGTAATATCTGCACTATTAACTTCTGCATCACGCTTTTTTTTGGTTTGGATTTTTGCAGGTGCCAAAGATTTGCCATCTCGTTGTTTTCTAAATAGAAACATCAAAAATAGGGACCAGGAACCAACCCTGATGAATCATATAAACAAAGCTTAACAGATAAACTCTGCATATTAATTAATTAATTAATTAATAAAATAAATAAATAAATAAATAAATAAAAATTGCATTGGTGAAATAAGTTCCCAAAAGCATTATTACCCTCATACATTATCTCTTAACAGTCTCCAAGCTGGAAAAAAGACCATCATTTTTCCTGAATAGGTTGGATGTGAAAGGGAATGGGATGGGAAAGGGAGGAATCAACCCCCAAAACTGGAAATATTCATCTGAATAAGCAATGATGGCATTCAGCAAAGAGAACATGAAAAACTCAAGAAAGGGAGAACCAAACCCACTTAATAATTTGCCTGAGGATCCCCGAAGTGGGGAACCAGAGGTACCACACACAAAGGAAGCTTCTTGGAGGCGAGATGGGGAACATTAAAGCATGCAATTACTTCAAAACAACGTGGAAAACACTATCTATAATACCTGTTTCATTTATAGCATTATTTCTTTCTTAGATTTATATCGCAGCTTCAGTCCAGGATTTGAAGAAGGCGCAAACTGGTACCTCCCTTTATTTTATCCCCACAAGAATCACGTAATGTAGTTGGGCTGAGAGAAAGCGACTGGCACAAAGTCATGTGGTGAGTCCAGTGACTGACCCTGAACTCGCCAACTCAACAGACGAAAAGCTGCATGCAACACGTTGGCTCTCTGTATCTCGTGCATCCTGGTCCCACATAGATAAAAACGTAAACCGGAATGAAATCCAGACCTGCAGAGAGCAACTTTTTCCATTGGCTCTTAGTACCCAAGAAAACGTCCCAGAGATGCTCCCTCGCCTGCTGCACTATAAACCTACATCTGAGGAGCCCCTTAAATTAGAGGCATCTCGAAAAACTAAAACACTCAAGCCCACCACTAGGAAGAGATCCGTCCAACCCCTCGCTTTCTCCTCACCCTGACTTGCTTGAAGTGGCCGCCTCGGATATCCCCTTCGTCTCCTTCAAGCCAGAGCCGGAGGCGGCATCGTCTTCAAACACGCTGAACAGCTCATCGCTGAAGGCGTCCGCCATCTTCCCCACAAACGCGCACCAGCAGCTCCCACCATACACCGCGTGTAAACAACGATAGAATTAAAAGGGGCTAGAGCGGCATCCAAAGCGAAACTTCCCATCAACAACAACACCAGCCGGTTGCCCATAGAGATAAAAAGTAAAGAAATGCGTACCCCAATTTATCCTTCTCAATACTACTTTAATAAAACCTTTCTCTCAAAATAAAAAACATTAGTAAAAAAACCCCACAGAAACAACTTATCAAACTACGAGATATTTTTCTCTGTAATTTTTCTTGAGCAATTCTTAACGAGTGAGAGACAAACGTTAGAATCTAACCGGAAGCGAGCCACCATGGGCGGAAGTGATCATCTACAGCTGCCCGAAATAGGCCCTGCCTATCACTTGCCCTGATCCAATCAGAACGGTGGTGACGACAGCGGCGGCTGCTCATCCCCGGACGTAAGCAGAACCGGCGTGAGAGCTTTGTCGCGGGTTCGAGGGGGAGTGGAGCGTGTTCCGGCCATGGGCGGCAAGAACAAGAAGCACAGGGGCG